ATCACCTCCCAAATAAACTATGTACTTGAACTTGAATTCTTTGGGTTTACTTTTGAGGAGATATCAACTAGTACTGTATTTGTATTCATCTAAATACAGTGTTTGATACAGAGCAGAGAATAAAAGGGAGCTGGCAGCTATCATGAAGAAGCCTTGTGCAAGTGGTAGACCATATCCCTTAATCTACAGTTCGTCTTATGCCTTCCTCCTCACCATGCCAGAGTCAAGGAATCCTCTCTCCTATACAAATTTCTTTAATGGCCTGGGTAGGTACTGCTATATGAGTAAGGAGACAGACCACATCAATTAGCCAGCAAGGATTTATCAATTGTTTATAGTGTGCCGAACACCATGCTAACCTCTGTAGAAGACAGTAATAGCTGCAGACATGGTCCTTGCCCTCAAGCTGGTGAGATAGGACATACAAAATAAGGAGCAATGCTTTTCTAATCCATGTTGCTTTAACAGACATGGTTCTTCCCAACACTCAGGCTGCATGCTCTTGTGCCCAGACAAAGTGCTGATGGACAACTCATAGCTGTCTCTTACAGAGAAATGCCCTTGGTCAAACCTTTCTCTGGGCAGCTACTTGCATCATTAGCTGTCTTCCAGACTAGACCTCAATGGCTGAGTAGGCTGGGGATAAAAAAGCTCAGCCCCCCCCCCCCCCGGCTGGCATAGCTCAGTGGATTGAGCGTGGGCTGGGAACCAAAGTGTCCCAGGTTCGATTCCCAGCCAGGGTACATGCCTGGGTTGCAGGCCATAACCCCCAGCAACCGCACATTGAAGTTTCTCTGTCTCCCTCTCTCTATCTCCCTCCCTTCTCTCTCTAAAAATAAATAAATAAAATCTTAAAAAAAAAAAAAAAAAGCTTAGCCCCTTTCTTCAAAATGGAAGTGAACTGCAGAGTGACTTACACTCCAGAGCTTTCCCCTGGGATCAACCTGAAGTCAGTCTCCAGCTGAGAACACATCTTTGCTTAGCTTTTTTCCACTGCCCTATCCTGCTTTCATTCCTCCTCCTGAGAGCTGCCCCCAATGAAACACGCAGCCTCACACCAGGCTTCTAGGAAGCCTGACATAAGACACTACACACCAGAATCACTTGTGCAATCCTACAAAAATGCCTAAACCTGGACCAAAATACCTGATCTACTGAATCAGGACCTATAGATTTTCCTGGGTGGGGTCCAGACAAGTGTATGTTTTAAAGCCCAATATGTATTTCTAATGCATCACTCACCTCTCAACTTCTTATTTTGATAATTTCAAACCTACATAAATAACAAAAAATAATATAATCATGAACACCTACACACTTTTCACCTAGATGCGACAATTGTTAACATCTCCCCCATCTTCACTCTCTCTCTCTCTTTCTCACACCACATCAAAAATGACTTGTAAGTAAATTGTAGACACCATTACATTTCATTCTTAAATATTTTAAACATATTCCTCCCAAAAAGAAAAGCATTCTATATAATCCATAAGAAAATTAATATCAATGTATTGATATCACCAGAGTATATAGTGTATGTTTAAGTACACCCTTCATTTTTAGGTCAGGGGCTGATATTTTTCTCAACTGTAGGAACAATGGAAGTGCAGAAAGAAAAATATCTATATGAGTTGAAGAGCCAGGCAAAGTCTTCAAGAAGGAAATAGTATTTGAATTGGACTGTGAGAGACTGATACTTGAAAAGGGGAGAAAGGGGAAAGGTTCAGGTACTTGGAGGTGGCTATTGTATACAAAGGCACAAAAATGGGAACCAAAATGGCTTTTCATGGGAACTGGGAACTGGGATAGAGGCTGTCTTGTGGAAAGAGTGAGGTTGGACAGGTCCCCTGGAATCAGAATGCAGAGAGGTTTTCAGTTTAAGCCATCAAAGGACCAGTGACCACACACCAATAAAATTCAAATGTGCCTGCTTTTATGAAAGAAAGTCACATCAGATCTTTGGAACATATTCAGGTGGAAACTAGGAAGCGCAATGTTTGCAGTTGTGGAGTCAAGTTAGCCTGGGGAATTCATCAGAGATTGAAATCCGTTCATTCACATACTCATTCCACAAACATTTTCAGAGTATATATTATTTCCAGGTACCACTCTAAGCACAGGAAATAGACGTCTTCATAAAGACAAACAAGGTCTCTTCTTTCCTGGAACTCAGTGTAAATAAGTAAGCAAACAAAAAAAAAAAAAGATCAGATTGATGGTGATAATGGTTAAAGTGAAAAATAAGAGAAATAGATTGAATAGTGATCGGGGCCTACTTTAAATTAAATGTTACAGAAGAGCAATATTTCAAGCAATGTTGGGCTAAAGCTGGCTTCCCATTCAGAAGGACAGAGAGTTACGGTTTCCACAATTTTGCAAGCAGTTCGACATTGCATTGATAGCTTTAAGTAGACTGTGGCAGAATACTTACATCAACTAGCAAATGCTGCAAATCACGGCTTTTCTTTCTTTTTTTTTTCCGGAGAGCTGGTTGTTAAACACTTACCAGCACTGAATTTAATCTAAAGACTAAATGGCAGTGAGACGGCAATATGAAGGTCCAGGGGAGAACAGGCAAAGGCACCACAAGGTAGAATAAGGGAATCCGAAGACGGCGGACTTTGGTAATGGGGGACAGGGGCATAGGATGAGCATGGAGATCAGCAGGTGCTGAGCCACTTAGGGCCAGTACACCTGTAACAATACTGGGGTTTTTTCATATTAAATGTTATGGGGAGTCATCAGTGGATCTTAAGCCTAAGGAGGATGTAATTTGAATTATGTTTTAAAAGGATCACCTTGGTTGTTAAAGAATGGACTTGGGGAAGGGCAGAGCAATAGTAAAGAATTCAGCTAAGAGTTTAGTGCTTATGAAGCAGTTTGTGCACAAGGTTATTCATTGCAGCCTTGTGTAATGGCAAAATATTGAAAATGGCCTAAAATGTCTATCAATATCAGAGAAAGTGAATTTGTAAGAGTCTACCCATATCATGGGACTGTTCAACAGTTGTTAAAAAAATAAAGACTCTCTTTACTTACAGTTAACAAAATACCTTTAAAATGTATTATTGAATGGGAAAAAGTTGGCACAAATGTGTTGTAAATGTTGCTGTATTGGGGTGCACAAATCACATTTGTATGTTTTTGCATGTATATACATTGCAAAATATTTTAAAAAGATATAAGAAAGTAAGAGATCAAAAACAACCAAAAAGCGGCAATTGATTCAGTAAGGCCCAGAAGTCATTTAGCTTTGTTTGCTGTTTGATATTTGTTGTAGAAGAATAGATGTGGTAGAGTGTTGTGAAGTCCACTTTTTACTCTATGCTCTTTTGTGTTAAACCATAAGAAACTGTCCTTGTATTCCCTATTTTTAAATTAGGTAGGTAAATGATCGATAGATGAGAGAGCAAGAAAGAGGTTCTTGCAGAAATCCCCTAAAAGTTCACTGGGATTGAGACCAGAGAGGTAGCAGTAGAGATGAAAAGAAGATGCATTTGAGATACATTTTATGATAGAGTTTGTAGGACTTGCTGTTACAGTTTATATTTAGCGTGATACAATTATGAAAAAAGGAAGCAAGGAGACATCGTCACTTAAGTAATTAAACATAGTTGCTTGGGCAACTAAATCAATGGTGTTACCATCTAGCAATATAATAAAAGCTGGGAAAGAACTAGGTTTGGTGGGGAAAATCAAGATGCTGGGAACTATTTGAGCAGCCTTTACAGCCTCAAATAGGCATGTCAGTTAGGAACGGAGAGAGACAAATCTAGAGTTCAGAAGAGAGGTTAGGGCTTTGAGCTATAAAGCCAAAAGTTATTCCAACTGACAGAAGGGAGAGGAACATGTCTTAAAAAGACATCCTGGCAAACTTCAAGGCTCTTTCTTTTCCCTGAGTCCTAGAATGTCACAGAGCATGAACACTAGGTCAGTCAAACAGAATGTCAAGGAGAAATGAGTACACCAAGAAAACCTGAACAAGTTGCCTCACATTTAAATGCTCTCGTGCTTACATTTCATGTATTACTTAACCCACATGAACCTGTAAACGCTATCTAGGAAGGTAGGAGGCAAGGCTGCCAGAGCAGCATCCTCAGCCAGGGGCTGATGGCATCTCTCCACCCACCGGCCCACGGAGGAGGACTGAAGGTGGTTTCCAATGGTGCATACCTTCCCACTTCTTCAGGGTGGGGGTGCGGAGACACTAAGTTCAAACAGGGACAAAACTGAAATGATTCTATTTCCCTCCTCAAACTAGCTAATCCAGCTTTAAAAAAATAACTCAAAGAGACATAGAACTCAATGACTGAAGAAGGCAATAAACTGACCTGGTCATATATACGAGTGAGAATAAAAGAGTAAGTGACAAAAAAACAAGATAAATGGAAACATGATCAAAATAAAGACTTTCGTGAGCTCTCATGATTGGGATTCTCTGCCTAGAATCCAGGCTCAGAACCCAGCAGGGTTGGAAGTGCGCTCAGCAGTGGGGAATGGAGCAGAGTCTCTGGAGGTCGGCAGGAGGAGCGTGAAAACCCAGGCTCTGAACGCGCCGCACACGCTCATCTTCAGAAGATGGGCCCCGGGAGCTTCTGGCAAGTGTCGAGCTGTTAGCCTCACATCCTCACTTGATTCTAAAAATGGATAATTAAATTCTATCGCTCTAATGAAATTCCCCCTGTCGTTTACACTGCAGAGAGTGCACATGGAGGCTTCCGGGAGCCTAGGGAGGGGGTGGGGAGTGACCTAACACAGCACAGAACCAAACAGAGCTGAGTCGTGGACTGAAGAGGGCGAGCCCTGAGGGTCTCTGGGTGGAAGATTCAGGACGGAAAGTGGACAAAATTAGATCAAAACGTCTCATACCCAGAGCTGTCCCCACTGAACAAAATCCGGACAATGGCCAAATATACCCTGAGTGTGGTGTTATGAAAGAGGTGGACCTTGTTCACCCTGGAGAAACATACACAGAGTCCGTAGGCTAACAGCTCTGTTCCCCACACAGACATCTTCCAGAAAAAGAGGATGTGACTCTAAAAACACATACGTTGTTCTCGTACTCACTGCTGCTATTATTGGGTCCCTGACTGACAAGGAAGGAAGATGGCATGAAACTTATGCAAAATTGTAAGTATACATATTTATTAATATACATTTGTGGTTCTTGTGGAAAACCAAAAGCTCAGTGCACTGCAGATTCTTACAGAAAAAGGAAGAAAATGTGAACTCATTCCCTCTTCAGGTATAAGGAGCTCGCCGAAGCCCTCAGGATTACCGTGGTGTTCCTAGATTGCTCTGCCCCATTCAGCGGGACAGCGCAGGCCCAAGAAAGTCTGGTTTTCTCATCCGTGTTAGGTTCTTATTCTTTCTCCAACAACGGCAACTTACCAGTGACCCTCGCAGAGAGTTCATAAAAGAACTCAAAGATCCACAGAGATACCAAAAACTGTACATTAATATTACACACCTAAGACAGGAGCAAGGAGCAGGTGGGGGAGGAATGAATAAGGAAGCCATTGTGACAGTGAAGTGCATTATTACCTAGTTATTCATGCACTCTGGGCTTTTCAGTTGATGAACTTTTCACACCAGAAGTGGGAAAATTAATCAACTTTTTCTCTCTGTATGTCTTCTTCTCTGCTGTCTCACCTAATTATTTTGCACTCAATATGGACAGAGACATTGTTCTCATTTCAACTTTCTCTACAAAGCTCAGGTGCCCTTATCTGACTCCGAAACACATTTCTCACCTCACCCAGCACTGTGTGCCTTTGGTTTCTGCAGCAGTTTCTCAAGGAGACAAAAATGGGGGAGCTCCTTGGCTTCTTTCTTGATGTCGGTGCAATATCAGAGCCTCTCCTGCTTGACCACACCCGTAAAACTCCATTTTCCTCGCTGCACTCAACACCCTGTCGTCTCCTCGCCTGGTCACCTAGAGAAAAACCGAAGTGTCCAAAGGTGTTGGGGACAACTATTTCAAGACCTTGTGAAGGGCCTAAATTTTTTCTAACTGCGCCTATAAAGCAAGGACCTCCCTGCAAAAACTATTGCGGATGTTTCTAACTCTGCTTGCATGATTAATGAAAAATAGAGGTGAGGAGGGGGCATTTTAGATGCATTCGATTTCTGAATATTTCATGACATATCGACTAAACTTCTGGGAGGCTGAATAAACTTTGTAATTATTACCTAGGGTTTTCACGTGAGGTGGATAAACTCCTCTCTTCTGTGAGTAATCCATTTACATGCCTTCTGAATCATCCTGGGAATCTAAGACCTTTGTACACTAAGCTAACTAAGGCCCTGGACATCAGCTCTCGGGTTTAACAAGCATTTGTTTTCAGGCTGTATTGACATCACTCCTATGTGACAAACTTACAAAGAATGAGACACAGCCTAGCATGTGAAATATAAGATGATTGTATGTCTTAAGCACTTAAAGCCTATTACCAAAATAGGTGTGCAATGTTGCTGTTATAAATATCATGCTTAACACCTTTTGATTCTTTTTACTCTGAAGTGTTCAACCTATTATGGAACAAAGAAAGGCTGCCTTTTAAATCTCCCCTTGCTTCCTCAGAGATGGATATGCCCCCTCTGAAGCTCAGCCTCACATAAAAGCCCAGCAGTGCCCGGCTGTAAATCTGTTTTACATCAGCTTTTATGTGAGCTAGGCCTGAGCTGGGTTTCATTATCTTCTCTTTTTTTTTTTCATTGTTTTTACTTAAGAAAAATGTAGTCTCCAATGAACTCAGATCATTTGCCTTGTAAATAACACAAAATTCACTTTCTTTTAGAGAAAACCTCTTGTGACACTTGGCACCCATGGTCTGTGCTCTGGTATGATGTTGTGAGCCACCTGCTCATGGAGGTGAGTCCTCGTGTCATTTTCCAGGCACTGTGACTGGCCCCCAACTGCAGCCAGGACCTCTGGGGTCACACCACTCTGCTCTGGTGGGGCCGTCACTGGTACTAACTCTGTAGGAGCCAGTCCCAAAAATGCCATGTTGAAACCAGGTGAAATCATTACACATCTACATCTTGAGTCCTCACAGAAACATTCTAACAAGAGTTTGAGTTTTATTTTAAAGTTGCTGGTAGAAGTTTTGGTTCTCTGGTTTAATCACATTTGTACTTCTTGAGCTATTCAAATACAGCCCTTTATCCACATGTGGAACGGTCTGAATTATATTTTAAGCAACACACATTTAATTAAAATTAAGGGTGGAATCATGTAAAGAATAATGGAATAAGAGAAGATTTGGATTTATTGGCTATGTGATTTGGGCAGGTTAATTTTTCAGAGCTGCCGCTTCCTAATTGTTAACATGAGAAGCTATTATCAGATTGTCTGAGCAGTTTATCTGATTCTGCTTGGTTCTCTGAGACTGTGATTTGCGGATCAGTGTGTCTCTCACAGAGGATATAAACCACTAGTCCTTGACTGGGTTTTATCTAACTGAGGGTAATATCATTTGGATCCCTGACAATTGAATCCAGAAAATGTTTTCTTTCTCAAATAACTGTCCTACTCAGAACATAAATCCAGAAGGCTAAAAGATAAATTGTAGCTGAGGACCTTTTATCTTAGCAATAATTTAACATCTTAAAGTACTCTGCTAGGGTTAAAATGGTAGACTAGAAGCACACGCATTTACCTCTGATTTCTTCTAAGAAACAATAGAAAGGAATAAAATAATATTCAAGAGCTGTGAGAAGAGGAGCTTGGATATGTGGGTGTTGCTTACAAACAGACATTTTGATGCATTTCTTGGAGACACAAAGCAATAACTCTAAAAGGGGTTATCAGGAGGTAGGATCCCGCTTGCCCCATGGAACCCCAGTAGGTACTGGGCTGGGGGTGAGCAGGCGTAGCAGAGGGAAGAAATAAAAACTCAAATGAAAACAAAGGAGGAAGAATGGCTTCTGAAGAAGATGAACAAATTGTGGAAAGTGAAGGCTTTTAGTTAAGTGTGTTGATACTTTTTATATGGTTCTGCCTGATACTGCTCAAAGTCCAAGGTCAGAGTTCTCCATAAGTCCTTCTTAAATATTAATATACAAATGAGAATTGTTGGAAACATGAGAACCAGAAGCAGGAAAAAGGAAAGCTTAGATAAACAAACACAATAAAGAACCCTGGAAAAAGATAACTTTGAAAACAGAAAGTAACTTTCTTCATCATCATCATCATCATTATCAACACCATCCACATCACCTGAGAGAGAAGAGTACACTTCTTTCTCCAGTATGAAAAAGGGAATAATTGCAGCATAAAATGAGCTCACATATACTAAAAGTACAACTGACAACGTTTAAGTGCTATAACTGGAAATCATAGTTAAGAACATTGCTTAGATATAATGCAAAAATTCAGACAATGAAATTATGAGGAAAAACAACAATCTAAACAGGAGTAATTCAAAAGATCTAGTATCCATCAACTAATGAAAGCTCTAGAAAGAGAAAACACAATAAATAAAACAAAATGATTTTCACTTCCAGAGCTGAAGGACAAGAGTTTTTAGTTTGAAAGATAAAGTCCTACATGTAGACCTATTTCATTGATAAAGTGATTATAAAAGCTTCTAATGGACAAAAAAAAATGGGCAAAACAAAAATCAAATGAACAAAAGCACCCAAACTAGATTCTAAATAGAAGATTTTAAAAGCTCCCAGAGGGACAAAAATAAACTACCTACAGTGATAGGAAAATCAGACATGCAGTCCACTGGGTTTCCAGATGGCCGCGGGGATTCAAGAAAATGATGTGGCCATGCTTCCAATGTTCAAAGGGAATGTGATTTTAATCCAGGTGGCAGTAAGTCACCTGTAAGGACAGAATAACATCACTTTTAAAATGGAAGGGCTAACAGATTTACTTCTAAGCCATTGTTTCTGAGGGAATTGTTTTGGAATGTGATCCATAACCCCAGGAGAGGGAATATGTGAGCCGAGAAACAGAGGATTCCATGTAAGAGAGCAGAGGAGGACCCTCCATGACAGCGGCTGCGTGTGAAGCCTGAAGTCAGTCACCCACAGGGAGGAGGGGTGGAGCTCCAGAGTGGAGGCAAGCAGGAAAACTCGGGGACTTCTGAGGCTGGAAGGTGTAACTGAGAGTTTGAAAAATAATGGAAGGCATGACACAGGCCATGGTCCAAGAGAAAGGTAATCAATCCCTCATGAAAAAATATTGTATGAGAAATTCATATTCTGCAGAAGAAATTATGTAAAATGAGGCACACTTTTAAGCAAATGGCAAGGTGTGAGAAAAGAGAATCTATTTGACTTGGAATCTAGGAATGGTCTCCTAGAGGGTGCTCCCATACAGAAAGAAATGTAAACCCAGCCGTCCCCTTTGCCAGAGATTGAAGAATATTTTTCATGGTCACAAGAACATATATGCTATTTATTAGTTTACAACTTTTAAAGAAAACTTGTGGACAAAAAACAGAAGCCCTGTTTGTGCCGCAGACCAGAACGTAAATGATGTATCAGCCTTGTCAACGTGAGAGAAGGGGCATGAGAGGGAGGGGAAGGAGAGGAAGAATGATGAGTTTGGCCCTTTACACCCTCATCTTAACCAGAGCGTGTGCAGAAGATGCTGTCAAAAGTTGATACTGTAAAAATAAGGATTTAAATATATTTAAATATATATTACATGTAGCCAAATAGGATAATTTTTAAAACTATACTAAAAATTTCAAATATTGAGAGAAGACCTTGTATCAGAGGGGAGCATTTATAATTAAATTCTCACCATTTGTAATATTGAATTAGTACATTGATATAGACTAAAATTTAAAAATCAAGACATCAAGTTTTCAGTTGATTTCCTAGGTTACTATTAGGTCTTAGATTAAAACATGTCCTCAACCTTGGCTCCACGTCGAAATTACATCAGGAGCTTCGGAGAAGGGAGATGCCTGGGTCCCACCCCAGGGACTCAGCTGTCATTCCCTTGGCGGGAGGCTGGAGCTCTGAGATTTTGTCAAATCCTCAGGTGATGGGAATGTCCAGGCTGAGAGGCAGCAGCCTGAAAGGGCTGAGGTCAGATTGAGAATAGATGGTAGGAGCAGGGCAAGGGATGTTTTGTTTGTACCATCAGGTGCTCTGGAGTGTTCAGTTTATTACCATATGCATGCCTTATCTTGATAGAAATTCAATTGACAATATTAAATGTCAATTTAGTAAAAGGGAACATCACTGAGGTACAGAGCCTAGGAGGACAGGTCACGGGGGTCAGAGAGCACTGCAGCCCCCTGGGCCTTGGGGCAGAGGGGTCTGGAGGCATCTTCTCACCCTTCCTTCCTTCTTTTCCAGGTGGGACGCTGGGCACAGTGTGAGTAATTGGCTGCCTTGGGTTATGAAGCCAGTCAGAAGCAGGGACAGGACTCGTAAGTGCCAGCACACGTCTCTCCTCTGTGTCTCTCCCCCTGTTGAACCATCCCCCTCTCACTCTTTCTTCCTCTCCCAGTTGCATTTTTATCCTTCTCCTGCAAGTGCACCCTTTGCACCCACTCTTCACCCCCCCTCCCCTGCCGCCTTTTCCTGACTCCCTTCACTTAATCACACAGTGAAGAAAACAGAACACACCTCCCAGGGAACACGGTTCACTCTGATTTCATTGGAATGTGCTTTCTCATCGTTAAAATGGATATGCTTATTCTGCTTTAGGCCACTTTCTCTTCCAAAATAAACTAAATTAGCTTGCATTTTATTTCTGCTTGGTGTTCCGTTTCCTCTCTCTGGGGGCTGGCCAGCCTCCAGGGGAAACGGTTTTTCTCATCCTGGTGGCAAAGAGACCTCACTTCAGAGAAGAGAGCTGAGCTGAGCATGAGACTCACCCGGTGCGATACATCCTATGATGGAGGAGCTGAGTTTACTTTTTGCCTGGCTGGTTCTTCTCGTTGTTTCTTCTTTTCACTTACATCCATGTGAAGGACACATATATCTCCATCCTTCTCCCCACAGCCGAGTGGAACTATGACAGGGCCCAAACCAAAGGTAAGAGATTTACATGCCCCACAAGATCCTAATTAATAGCAACTGTTGGGACTCTCCCCACCTGCCACTTCTGAGGACCCTAGACAAGCAGCCACATTGTCCCATAAAGGAGACCGTGTTGACACTGGAAATAAAATACCCATATTGATGCTCAGATAATGCTTTATATGCATTCTTGAGCCATACCCTGTGCTTAAACTCCAGCTTTTTAGTATAATTTTAGCCTTAGAACTTAACATTTTTACTGCCTTTTTCTCAAAATAGTCAATATTGATTTTGCTATGTCTGTTATTATCCTGACATTCAGATTTATTTTCTTGCTTTGCTTTGCATGAGATTGTAGTTTATAGAATTAACATTTATCCTGTTCTTTCGGGAATTTGTGGGATAAGTCTCTTGCCCCATTGGCAAATCATTCTGCTTATACTGTATTGAAAAATAATAATTGGCTTTGCACCCTCATCAGGTTTGAATGGCTTTATTATTTTTATGTTTGCTGGTGCATCGTGGGTAACATCTTGCAGGCTTTGGACTGTTGGGAACTCAGTAACCCGAATGCACTTAATTGAGGGCCCCACTCCTAGTTTCCTGGGATGCTGTTTGCTTTGAACAGTACCAAGTGTACTGATGCTCCACATCTCAGATCCAATTTTTGTCACGGCCTTTTGCATGTATCTGTATTGATACAAGGAACTGACCTTAGGCCCAGATGTAAAATATCTTGGGTAGTGGTCACAGGGAATAACTAGAGCAATGATAGCACCAAGAAAATGAAGCTTTATATTCATATGTTCAGTATGGTTTATGCACTAGAATACTTCACAAGGAGGCTGAACTTTAGAGGAAGCTGCAAGATGTATTAGAGAGAGCATGAAATTGGAAGTCAGCAAGCCTAGGACCTACTCTTTAGTAGCTGTGTGGCCCTAAACAAATTACCTAGCTTCTCTGAGCCTCTGAGTCTTGTTTTAATATGAACAATAACACAGGAATATGCCTATTGTCTGGTCTGTGTATCAAATAAATAACATCACACATAGGGGTTCATAAATGTAAGTAATACATAAACATGTGTTTATACAAAGTCAGAATAGAGGAGTTTATGCAACATAGTTGTGAGAAGATCCACCTAATTGTTTTCTCCTTAATTTAGTCACTCCACCATATTTATCTGGCACCTGCTCTGTGTCAGGCTCTGTGCTGGGTGCTAACATTCTAAGAAGGGTCAAACACGCTTCCCTTTATGGATCTTATAGCAAGTTGGAAACACAGGCATTGGTCCTATCATCCCACAAACAGAAAACGACAGCTGTGATGAGGTCTGGGGACAGGTGTGAGGTGCAGAACCCTGGGAAGAGGCATTTAAGCAGAGAACTGAAGATGGAGGAGTAGGTAGCTTGTTGCTAGGATGGCAGGAAAGGCATTCCAAGCCAAAGGAATAGCATATGCACCAGCCCCCTAGCTAGAAGGAGCTTGGGGAGCCCAAGGAACTGAAGAGTCAATGTCCCTGCTGAGGGCAGGGCACATGGGACAGTGGGCACAACAGAGGAAGCCAGCAGCAATACAAGTAAGGCCTAAAGAGCAGTCAGATGGCAACGTTTGTTCTGAGTGATGAGTTTATGAACTGTTTGCTTTTTCTCCTTCACAATTTCTTTGTGGTAAAGGAAAAGACTAATGAGTAGCCAACCAGGAGGTAAGAGTGGACATGAGAAAACATATGCCAGGGTAGAGGCCAGCAAAACTGAGAGCAGAACGTGCAGAGGACGGCCCAGGGAGAAGTCGGAACTGCGGCCACACCGGCAGGGCGTGTGCTGTGTTCTTCACAAGCCCGTGTCAGTACATGTCATGAGCAAGCATGGGATGTGCAGGCACCAGGTGTGTCTGGGGTCACAGGTGGACAGACACATTACATTTATGGGCAGGGAAGCAAAACAAAGAGAAACCAAAGCAGATATGATACAGAGAAGACCACAGTCACTAGGCTCAGGGCTTACTCTATGGGATCTGCAGTATTTCCTACAATTAACTGATTCTGCATCTACTACTCTCATCTCCAAAGAAATCTTGTGCATTGGCAGATAGGCTTTTGGTCTCAAGGGATCCCACAGTTCCATCCCATTGCTGATTTTGCCAAGTTCACCGCTGCTCCCACCTCCTGTCTTTCTACAGCTGTGCGAGGAGCTGTAAGAGGCCCGGGCATCCCAGGATTTCCTCCAGCTGGGGGGCACCTGGGTTCTGGAACGGTCTTAGGTGGAGACTATGGGAAGTCATCAGAGCGCTCAAACATGCTGCTGCAGCCGACCTGCCAGGAGACGGCGCGTCTGACCCTGACACTCAATTAGCAGAACAGACGGTGTATAACGTATGCTTGACACTGATATGATTTAACGTTAATAACTGGTTTTCAAATATTTATTACAATGGCTGTTTTAATAAATATTTCATGAATACTATTTTTTTTTCAAAAACCCTCTGTTGTCAGCTTTGCTGCCTTAATTTGCCTTAATGAGGATTTTAAAAATTCAGTGATAAATTGCTTCTTTGCCAGTGCACAGGAGGTGAAGAGGGCTCTTATGGAATATCTGTCATCTGGGGCAGCAAAACCAGGAAAAGATAAAAAACCAGCATAAAACACCCCAAAAGAGGGACAGACAGCTGCTCTGCCACTCCTCAGAGGAGAGAGCCAAACGTGCATAGTGGGCCAGGGAGATGGCGATGCATTTACATGACAGGGAAGGACACAGAGTCCTTGGACAGGAGACTGAGGACTATGGATGTCCTTAAGGAATCCTGGCCCTGGCCCACTGGCCCATGTGGCTCAGTTGACTGGAGCATCATCTCATAAACTGAAAGTGTTCAAACCCATCAGAGCACATGCCTAGGTTGCAGGTTCAGTCCCAGATCGGGGTGCATTGAAGAGACAACCATTTGTGTTTCTCTCCCTCTCTCCTTCTGTTCTATTCTCTCAAAAATCAGCAAACATGTCCTTGGGTAAGGATTTAAAAAAAGAAAGAAATCCTGGAAAACATCCTGGCAAAAGGAGAATCTGGTTCAGCCCTGTTTGGAGGGAGAAGGGCGAGTGAAACCACCCTGGGGCTCTGCAGTCTGACAAAGGAACACTTCAGGGCTGGGTGCAGCTGGGATGCAGGAGGTTCCAGAGGCAGGAGAGGGGTCCCTGCCATTCCCCAATCTCCCTCACTGGAAACTGAGGACCCCCTGAGTCTCAGCATGCTGTTTCCTGGAGGAAACAGGTGCTTCTGCCTCCACCTGTGGGAATGCCCACCTGGGAGACTGGTCATGCCCATGTCCTGAGAGGAACCTCAGAGAATTAATAAAAACTGGGTTCCTTTCAACAGAGGATGAATTTGGTGGATTTTTTTTCACTTGGCTGTTTCTGGAATCTGGGCTCCTCTCACGATCCCTGTGCTTGTTCCAGGTGGAGTGTGCACTTCTACAGCAACACTGCATGCTATCACCGAGATGCTGCTGCTGCATCTAAGAGTGAGAAACCACAGCACATCAGCAGGGCCAGCAAGACCCCGTGAAATCTGTGATAAACTGCCTTCCCTCAAATGGGACCCTGGCACCCAGCCCAGAGGCCTGATGACCCTCTGCTCCAGACATCTTCCAGCTGCCACTCTCCTCTGGGAGACAGCACCAAGGATGGCCCTGGGCATCTTCTTCATGACTGTCAAGGTCTACCCTGACCCCACTCCCTGTCATGCTGTGTTCAGATGACTGGGTCCTGTCTGAGTCACCTCACCCTTGTTCTGGCCAGTTACGCTTCCTGGCAGCACTTGAACCAGCTCTCCACACCCACTTAGCTCCTGAGAGACATTGGTATCCTGCTTTGTTCAGGTTCATGTGCCTTCCTGAACTGGGAGACTGGCCCCATCTGCCTACCCAGGGGCAGAAGAATAATCTTAAATGACAGGCAACCCAACTAAAACTCCCCACAATCTGCCTCTAGTAGGGGCCACTTCAAGAACTGTGCAAGTCCCTTCAAGCTGTGCCTCTGAGGCCACCCCCAGCCTTTTCACTCTCCTAGACCCAGTCTCGTCTCCACCAGTTGTTTTAGCCTTCTGTGTTTCACCGCCTGCCCCTGTTGCCTGAACTGACTTCAAATGTTATGTGGTAACTATGTGCAGGGCAATTGCTTCCTTGAAATTATGTTCATATTCCCCTATTTCTGTGGCCTCTCCTAGAGGGTCACTGTGTTGCCCAGCTCCAAGAGACTGTCCATGCTGCATCCTTCCAGAACGGGAATGCTTGACATGGCCCAGGCCTGCTATCCCACTTGCCCAAGTCACTAAAGTCACAAAGCAATGGTTTCCATGGATCCATCCAGAGTGGACCTAAACCTAGAGAGAAGAGACAGTTAAGCACGGTGAGCATTTTCAGACATAGACTATATGCTATGCCACACGCCATGAATACAAAGAAGAAAAAGATGTAGCGGAGATAAACACAGTCAGTCACATGCACAGATTTTTTCAGTCCTATGATCTAGATACATACAGAGGCTGTGCTTTAGAGGTGCCCAGCCCCATCTGTAAAGGCCACTGGGGAGGGAGATAAGGGGAGACACGTGGACTAAGAATTCAATTGACTGGGGGTGGGCTAAATGTAGGGGCAGGGCACTTCAGAGTAAAAGAATAACATGAGCACTGGTACCTCCTCCTCCACCTCCTGATTAAGTCATTATCTGCACAGTTTAGTATTGACAGAAAATAAAATATGAGTCAGAAAATGCAAGGGGCAAGGCTGGAGAGTTAAGCAGTAGCCATGTTATGGAAAAGCTTATTTTCCTTCTTCAGAAACTCTTGTCTTATCCAGTAGTAAATGGGGAACCATTGAAGAGTTTTAAAAGAGAAATGATGCACTTAGATTTGTGTGTTAAATCATCAGTCATTCTGATAGCTCTGGAAAGAATAGTTTTAGGCAGGACAAAATAAGAAAATCTAATAGTCAATAACATAGTCATTTTATGTGGAGAAGATGATGAAGATCTTAACCAATAACAATAGAGCCAATATTTATTGAGTGCTAGTTATGCTCCAGACCTCATTCAAATTCAAAGTATGGCATATTTAATTTTCACAGTAACTCTATTAGGAAACACTATTAAAATTTATATTTTACAGAAGAGAAAATTAAGTACGAGGAGGTCAAGAGCTTGTCCGAAGCTGTACAATCAAGGAAGCTGCAGGATGAAGGAGAGGAGAGAGACTCCAGGAAGACTTCAAAGGCCAACTGAGATGACGTGTTGAGTGGTGGGAAAGGCAGGGAGCTGTCAAGAGTGATTCCCCCGGAGTCCAGGGGATGGGTTTACTAAAAAAAAATAGGAAAATTAACTTACAGGGGAAAAAACATTAAGTATAGGAGGAAAAAGATAATGAGTTCAGTTTGGACCCTGAGTGTGAGGTGTACATGGGACTGGAAGGCAATAATTACATACAGGTAAGATACGGCGAAGCTCAGAGGCATGGCCTGGAGGAGAGGAGACCGGGCATGGTGCTCACAGACCTGGCAGCTTGGTTCTCGGAGAACTGTGTGTGTCCAGATGCTGAAAACAGCTCTGTGCAAGGAACTGTAATCAGGAAAATGATTCTAGTTCCCAGCTTTCAACTTGTGGGAGATGCCTCAAAATATAAAGGCGCAGGCTGAGCCTACTGTATTCCCAACATCATGGGCCACCTCCCCAGCCAAGGTACACAGCAGTGAGCCCCTTTCCTAGTCCTGCCAAGGCCTTTTGCTGGTCTTTTCCTGTGTGATAGCACCAGGAGGAGGGCTGTGTCACATGGCCAGATAAGCCAGTGGCACAAAGGCTGGACTCCTGCCGAATGATAACCTACCCCCTCTCTTTTTTTCAGAAACTATTGAATGAGCTTAAAAGAAGTATAAATAAAAACAACCTCTGGTGGAATTGCCTGAAGCAGGGGTGGAGGCCTGCGTGACCCCCAGCTGCAAAGAAGCTATTTCTGGTCCCCCTTGGGCTGGGCCATCACAGAGCAAGACAAGGCATGTTTAGAAAGCAAAAGCAGCTGACAACACGGGCTCTGATTAAAGTCTGTGGGTATAAATCCTGCTGTGTCAACGGCCTCGTCTGACAAACTTGATACACTCTTGGTTCAGCAGCGATGCGTGATTGCTGCTTTCGGTCTTAACAAACCCAGAGGAGTTAAAGTCAGCTTAGTTTGTTGAAGATGGAAGCAGCCATTGAGGTTTGAAATAAGATTTGAGCAGAGTCCTCCTGAATGGCCATGGGCCTTCTAGCGAAATCCTTGCAAGTGGGGCATGTGGACTGAGAGGAGAGGTGGATCCAGGAGGGTGCCCAGATGAGAGGCAGGGTTCCAAAGACTGGCAGAGGCAGGAAAGCCTAAAAGGAAGGGGCAGCCACACAGAAAGGATGGACAAAGCAGACGTGACGTCAGAGAGGAAGGAAGCAGGAACACAGCAGTCCTGGACAGCAGGCTGAACCGTGGAGAGGCAACTGTGACCTTATCAGCCCCAGGAGCTTGATTAGAGGGCAATGAGCAGAGGCACACAGAGAAAGGAGGTGGGAAGAGATTGCCAACTGTTAAACTGGGATAATACGAAAGGGAAAGACATTCAAAAGCTGCTGGGGAGAGCAGTGTTAGGAAGGATGGTTTCAGGGAAGTGAATTCATTTCTAGAGCTGCTCCAGCCAATTTCCCCAAACTGGGTGGCTTAAAACAATGGAAATGTGTGCTCCCACAGATCTGGAGGCCAGCAGTGCAACACCAAGGTGTTGGCAGAGCTAGACTCCCTCCACGGACTCTGAGGGAAGTCCTGATTCCTGCCTCTTCCCGGGTCTGGGGGCTGTAGGTGCACCTCGATTTGTGGTTGCTTCCCTCCCATGCTGTGAAGCTCACTTTATGTGCCAACGTCCCTGAGTCATGGCCTGCCCAGGTATGGGCCTGAACGTTCTTCCTGGGTGTATCTGGGAAGGTATTTCCAGGTGGGATTGGCATTCAAACTGAGCGAAGCAGATCCTCCTCCCCAGTGCGGGTGGGCCTCGTCCAGTCCTCTGAGGACTGCAAGGGAACAGAGAAGCGGAAGAAGAGAGAACCACTCTGACTGACTGCTCCCGCTGGGATGTGGATCTTCCCCTGCCCTCGACCAGGACTTCCTCCATCGGCTCTCCTCATCCTCAGGCCTTGTGACTTAAGTGGAACCACGCCGACGGCTTTTCTGGCTGTCGCCTGGCAGGCCACAGATTGTGAAAAACCTCTCAGCCTCCATGATCAAGTTAATGGACGCTTCGTCATGAGTCTCTCTCTCAATCTCTCTGTCTCTCGACATATAGTATCATATATCTATACATATGTAATCACATATACATGCATAGTAACATCTATATGTATTTTATATGTATGGAATCCTGAATAGTACAATGGTCCATCTCTGTTTTTGCCTTCTCCTCTGTGTATGTTTCAAAACTCCCCTATTTCTCTCCTACAAAGTCACTTATGATTGAATTAGGGCCTACCATGATAACCCAGGATAAACTTCATCCCTTGAAATATTTAACATAACCCCAGCCTTGACCATCTAAGGCAATGTCCACAGGTTCTAGGGTTTAGGGAGGGAACAATGCAATGTCATTTTTTCTGTCTGTCACAGGGGAAGCAGTATACATGCAGGCAGAGGGGAAGAAAGTGAGGAGAAAGATAACTAAAGAAATGAGAGGAGATAAAATATTGGAGAAAACCTCAAAGTTGGGAAGCATCAGGAATGGAACTGATGGAAAAAAACAAGTGAAAACAGCAGCAAGTCACGTTCATCTTTTAGGACACAAATCTCCGTGGTTGCTGGGTTAAATGTGCCACTTCCCTTCACCGGTCAGCCCAGGTAGGAGCGGCAGTTGTGGGTGGTGAACTTGGGACTCAGCTCTGCTGGGCAGTGCGCTGCCAGCATCACACTCTGTGAGTGCCCCTTGCAGGGGAAGAAGATGGCACAGTCAGGTGGCTTGAGCCAGCCCACCCTCAGGGGGCCAGTATGGACCAGCTTCATCAGACTTGTTCCTTGTCAGCTTGGTCATCTCAGAGGACACAGATAAGAGGCAATGAAAGTGGGATGTGCAGATACTCCAGTGGGCCATACTGGGGGTGGTATTATTACCAAAGGGGAAGAACTGAGGCAGGAGTGTGGGAGGCAGACAGAAGCAGGAGAGGAGAGGGAATCCTGGGGAGGAGAAGCAACTGCTGGTAGCACCCTAACCTGTTTGTCAGGCTGCAAACAGCATATCCAAGGGACACTGCTCAGTTTCCCTGTTACCACTAGCTCCACCGACCAGGGGTGTGTTCTTGGACAACTCACTTCACCTCACTAAGCCTCAATTTTTTCACCAATAAAATGGGAATAAAAAGAACCTACCTACTTTAAAGTGTTCTTATGAGGATTCATAGAATAATGTACATAGGGACTAGCAAACAGCAGATGATAGTTTAGCAATATTTCTGGTGTCTGGGACTCTGTGTGATCCATCTACTCTAACCCATGAGTCTCTTCTCCCTCCAAAGTCCACATTTTTCAACACTGCAAAGCCCTGTTCTCCTGATTGCTAGTAAGTGGAATTGCTCCTCGGCTCTTCCAGGGACACCCTGCTCCCTACTACCAGACATGGAGGCTGCGCGGTCCCCTTGCAGGTCCCCCTCTCCTGCCTGCAATGCTTTCGAGCCTTTGTTTCTCTTTCTGACAGCAGCCCTTTCTCGCCCACTGCTCTGCAGCCCGGGGACCCAGGCAGCAATTTGTTCCAGATGCCTGGCAATTTGTGGAGCCCTGCTCAGCCCGAGAAATATTTCCCCAGTGCCTCTCAACCTCTGGAAGAGCTGCTCTTTGCAAGCCTGCCGGCCAATCGCCAACACTTAGCTGGAAACATGTGGGCCTTTAATTATCATGGTCCAAATCTGGGAAGAGCAGCAGTGAGCAGAGAGAGAATTCTTGCTGGCTCATTCCCTGGAAGTCATTCCATCTCTCACCCACCAAGCTCTGGATTGAAGCCCCCACAGAGCCGTTGTGTGTTTGGCTTTCTAAGTGTGTCTCCAGGAGGCTGGGGAGAGTGCACCTGACAAATCAACTATGATTCCCAGTGGAAGCAGAACCAGTGGGATGTAAAACACGGCCCAAGAAGGATGTTTACTGATCCAGCCCCTCCTGACTCTGACAGAGGTGCAATCTCCCTCAGCTCTCAACGCAGGGGGCAGAGGCAGCTGCTGAAATGTTGTCTTGTCACTCAGAGTGTGGGCCAAACACCAGCAGTACCCAAAAGCTTTAGAAATGCAGACTTTCAGGCCCTGCCCCAAATCAACTGTATTTGAATCCCTCTCCAAAAACAGCTTCAGAAGCATTGATTTATGGGACACACATAAAGAACCTATCTCCTCTCCCACCCCCAAATATCTCCTTCTATTAAGCTCCACTAGAGATGCTTGCAATATATACATTAATCGCTTCTCAATGAAGAGAATTATTTTTTTTTAAAAAAAGAGCTTGCAACACACAGTCATTTTTAAATAGGGTCCCACTTTTGCAGGCCTCAAACTTCTTCTACAACCTTATGACTGATAAGGTGAGATTTTCCCTTAAGCCTTCATTTCTCACCCACAGGGCTTTTTTAATAGTCTGCAGCAGCAGCAGCAGCAGCACTCGCAATGTTTATTACAAGCCGCGTGTTTGTTTCCTTAATCACCAGTAATGTGAACCAGCCCAGAGGCACAGTGAAGTGGCTCGTGGTAGGAGAATATCATTAACATGTCAAAATGCCTGCCTGCCGTTTGCACTGCACAGCGATCTTCAGGCGTGGCTGCTACAGTCCCAAAGATTACAGTGTAGCCTATAGTTTCTTTGTGCAAGAAGTCAAAAATGATCTTGGATTCCCAAACAATTCCCTATGGGATGTATGTTTTCCCTCCTGTGACCTAGTGCCTAGCTCAGTGTCTGGCAGAGAGCCAGCCCTCAGCATTTGAGCTATATGCCAGGCAGTGGGAGAGTCTCTCTCTCCCTCTCTCTCTCTCTCTCTCTCTCTCTCTCTGTTTATCTACCTCTCCTGACAGGCATGTATTCTGCATAGTAATCCCACCCTTTCCCAAGGGGGCACATCTGGAAAATAACTAAGCAGGTCATTTGGCTCCAAAGCTGATGTTTTCACCACATCATGTCGCCTCCAAGGAAAGGACTGAGTGGATGATGGCTGATGTATGGTAAGAAACCAGCATGGGGCTCCTTAGCAAGACTTGCTTTAAAGGGACTCGGTCCAAAATGCCTTGCGGGTAAAGACTTATTTTTCTGGGCCTTGAGAACACCCTAAACCAGTAATGAATGGGAGAGCAGCAGCTGCGATCCTCCAGTCCCCTGAGCCAGGCTAAAGGGGCGGGCCACGCCCATTCAAAGGCTGTCATCCCTCATACCCTTCCACGCCACCATCACAGGGCATGTGAGAACACAAGCAGATTAGGATTCAGTGCAGGTTCCCAAGCAAATGCCCAATCCCTTCAGGGGCAAATCAAGCTATGGAAATTAACAACAAAAGTAATCATCAGAAACCAGTATCAGGAAGTATCGAGGTAAAAAGGAGGATTTTTAGTGTCCCACAGGACTGGCTGTTCTCCCCATGATCTGAGAAGTCCAGGATGTCCCTTGCTACATGCTTAAAATGCCCTCTGGGGTGGTTCCCTCCTCTTCCCATCTTTTTTGGTCTGAGCCAACACCAGACACAGGTAGGGGCTGTATAATCGTTGCTGCCGGGGCTGCATGAGCTGCTACATACATTCTCCTCAGAAGGAGCTGATTACCATATTAAGCATCTTTCACTTGACAAGAATCAGTGGAATGCTTCCCTCCATTTTCCCCAGCATGCAGACAAGAGTCAAAAGGAAGAGGCAGGGAGCCACTGGTGAGGTTTAAATCATCAGAAACTTCTCTTCATCTTTCATAACATTTATTTTCTTTGATGTTGAAATCTCCTTTCTCTACTTGTGTTTTATTTATTTGTTTTTTGATTTCTCCTTCTCTTCCCCACCTTTTTTAACTGCCATTTGGAGCCATTGTCTCTCCACAGAGCCCTGAACCTGCCAACATCAATAGGAAAGGTTGCCCAGCTCTGGCAGTTCGAATCCTCGCACAGCTGGGGCCCCAGAGCCTGCTGACCTTCACATCAACTCAGATCTAGCCAGTTGGACCCAAGGATCTCACTCATGATTGGCATCTGACTTGAGAACATCAGATTTTATTCACCATTTTCAATAAACAGCCTAGGAAAGAAAAGTAAAACCCCAGAAGCAAATTTTGCAACTGCAGTGCTTTCCGACTTGAAGGCAAGTGAAGTGGAGACTCGGATCAATTATTTGAATAATTTGAGCTTCAAATACATTTCTCCTTGAAACACTCAAACAATTGAAGCCAGGGGGCTTTGGAGTGACCTGCATCAATAATCTCCTTCATCTGCCTTTTCACTACATCTGTCTGACCCAGGCTGGTGTCAGTAAGACCATAGAATGAAGGAAGGATGGAAGCATTTTATTAAGTGCCCATTCGGTCCCAGACTGTGCTCAGGGGCTTTGCACACAACATATCACCTACGTATTCACCCACTAAGGTCCCGGCTGCCGTGTGGCCTGATCCCAGAGCAGTGTTTCATTCAAAGGACCACAGTCTGAAAGTGATTACCGAGTTTCAAAGAAATTGCTATTTTAACTCTCTTAAACTACATAAAGAGAATCCAACTCATAAAACAAAGTAATATTTCCTAAAAACAAACAACCATAACACAGTGACTCTCAACTCCACTTCTGTCCCGCCCCAGAGCTCCCGGGGAGCCCTCTCCAAACACTCCAACGCTCCCCTCAGATGCCCCGAGTTCCTGCCATCAGGTCCCGGTCTTTTATTCCTTTCTCTGCTACCTCCCACTTCTCTAGTCCTGACTCTCTTTATTCATCTGTTTGATTCTGCACCACAAAACCCCGCAGAACTAGCTGTCAGAGACAAAATTCTCATTAGGGGGAAGGAGGAAGGAAAGCAGTGCGGGCTGCAGCAAAGACTAAGTGTTCTTCAGTGCGCTTGGGCTCAGGGGTCGGGGCAGGGAGGGGGGATACTCACAGGCTGAGGAGATGGGCATCTGTCTCAAAAGCCATGTGACAACCTTGAAAAGAAATTATCTCTACTCTGTGGTGAGAGATCTGAAGCCCAAGTGAGTTGTCTAAGGTCACAAACCCAACAAATGACAAAATTAGAGCCAGGATGTATATAACAATAAAGCCCACTGTTCCCCACCAAACCACAGGCGTCCTGTGGAAGAGATAAAATGAATCTGGAATAATGACAAGGAGAGCAGGATTCCTATCATCTATGTCTCACCGCCCTTGAGTGAAGCAGATGTAGGGGTAGCAGAGAGAAC